TGGACAGGATTCATTTATTTTTTCTAGCAAATATTAAACACATTTTGATAGAAAATGGTCTGAAGACACTACAACAAATCTATTTCTGTATTTCTAGATTACAGGAGGGAGAGAATACATTTAATGTAAACTGTAATTTTAGTGTTTCTTCTAAAGCTTTGAACAATTGATGTGCAGGTTTGCAAACAAATGATAATCTGAGATAATATTATGACAGTTTCAATTAAACAATATATTGTCTTAAATAAGTCAAGAAAGTAAATTAAACAAATAAATCAAAAAAACATTCAAACTTAGTTTATACAATTTTATGTAAGGTTTGCAGTAGGTTTTTATTCCTTTTAATTTATACATATATATTAAACGGTGTTGATAGTTCACAGTATTGACCTTCGACCATATAAACTGACCATATAAACTCAGTTTATATGGTCGAAGGTATTGACTACTATCAAACAATATTAAAACAATTAACTGAATAATAAAGTTATATTAAAAGATTTGAAATGTACGCTTCAATCCTTTTTATTTAAACGCTTATTAAACGTTTACAATATTGGCTTATGTTAGTCAATATTCTAAACGTTTAACCGACTTTTAATAAACGAATAAATTATTAGGTCTATATGCAAGCTTTAATTATCTTAACGTATACGTTTATTAAACGTTTACCAAACGTTTAAATAATGACGTATGTTGGTCTGTATTCGAAACGTTTAATCAACGTATACATTAAAAAGCTTCAAATTTTGATCCAAATTAACCGTCAATTTTTGATCAATACTTGGTCGCTAAACATTTTATCAATTTTTCGACTAATTTTGACTAAATATTTATCTAATCTAGATGAAATTGTGTTTACTGGGTAATACATTTAACAATTTTTTTTTCAATTAAAGTTTCTTTAAAAGCATTATTTTTTACAATAAAAATACCGCATAAATATATCAGATTTACAACTTTAACATTTTTAAATAAAAAATTATTTTTCTAACTATTAAAGATTTTAAGCATTTTAAATTTTCACAATTTACACCTCCATCTTCAGTTTTAAAGTATGTAAGTAATAAGCCGTAGATAAATATATATGTGCACCTCTAGTTTTACTATATACACATTGGCTTTGATACTTATACCTTTGGCTTCAATACTTACACATCTAACTTTAATATTTACACCGTCAGTTTCCATATTTAAACCTCCAGCCTAAATATTTACAAAATTAAAAACCACTTTTAGAATAAATTTTACTTATTACAGATATCTGAAAAACAAAATAAAAATTAAACTTATTCCCACAATTTTTGATACTATTTAGCGTATTTGAAGCTAAATTTATTCTGCGAACAAATACAAGTTCGCAAAGTTTATTGATTTTTTTCCCTTTAGTGAAACTATTTAAAAAAATTTAGAGTTGAACGTTTTACACTTTCATTTTTTTTTTTATCCAAGGCCGTTTACAGCCCCATCAATTTGAGGGAGGTGTAAACTTTATAAGGTCATAAAAGCCGAACTACAAGAGACTATTGAATCAAATTTAAAATTTGTCGATGAACATAAATTAAATTAAAGATTAAAAAAATAATAACAAACTCGGCTCATTGCCGTCCTATTTGGGGTTGAGGGAGGGGCTAACGTATTGGGGTTTTTGTTGTTCTCAGTCTCCAATCAGCGCAATTTTTTGCATAGCATCCTCATTTCTCATATATATGAACATACTAAAACATGGAGTTTTCTTCATGTTTCAAAGTTGCTTAGCTTAAATATCAAAAAAAGTTGTCTACGGCCTTGTTATCTTTTTCCTTTCTGAAAAAAAAACACTGCTTATCATTTTCGGTGATCGGTCTATAAAATATTAAAAATATAATCATTTTTATTCATCATCATTATACAATTATATTCATCAGTATTGAATAGATTAAAAAAAAATTTTATGTTTGACGTAAACAAAAAATTCCTTGTATTAATACATGATCGCAATTCGACGTGTACTACCGAATATACTTGGTTTGCAACCGAATATGCTTGGTTTTGCTTTACTTTCTATTTCTCCAAAACGCCATTATTACTATGGTTGGCGCAAATCCGGGTTTTTGAGCGAAAACCCAACCCAACTGGGTTTTTGGGTGGGTTTTTGAATTTTTGCTAAATTTTAGTACAAATCTTTAGTAACAAAGTTTGATTAGTTTACATTTATTTAAAAGCTAATTTTCATTTTTTACAGGCTGTCTTAAACAATAGTTTAATTAATAATCAGATTCTATTTTTTCTGATACAAAGCTATTTTGAAATCAATCTAAAATTTTAGTTTAATTTATAATATAAGTAGAGTATATTCTTAAACATAACAAAGTATCATTCAGGGGAACGAAATATGGGCAGCTTGTAGAATAAAGTGCCCATATAAAAAGAGTAGTACAAATAGAGTGATAGTCAATTATTAAAAATGGAGCGTAATTAAAAAAATAAATAGAGTTAAGATCCGTTTTGATAAATGCAAAAAAAGAAGAAAAAAAGGAAGCGTTAATAATTCCGCTGAAATTTAGCGATATGTAAGTTTTTGAGTCAAGGCAATTGACATCTGCATCATCAAAAAAGTCTAAACAGCCAGCGGAAATATAGCAAGATTGTTTTAGCTTTATTAGTGATTCTTCTTATTTGTCAATTATTCCGTCAACTGCAATGACGGTGCAGCAGCAACCATTTCTAAATTTGAAACTCTATAAAAAATTTAACAATTAATCAAAAGGAACTGGACTTCTTTTTTTTTTATGTTGATTTAGGTGCCCCAAGAAGTCCTTACGGTCTTATCACAGAGCACCGCGGAAGAGCATTTAATAGGAAGTTCACGCCTCCTTCCTAACCGATGTCGCAAAACTTGCCCAGATGTGGGTTTGAAACGGGGATCTTACGTTCCTGAGGCAAGTGCGCTACCACTGCGCCACGGCTGCTTAAAAGTGTGCTACCAGCGGGATGCGAACCTGGATCGCCGCGGCGATATATCAAGTGCCTAACTGAACGAGCTAAACAATGTTAACTTCTAAGTTGCAAGGATTTGAAAATTGCAAAAAATAGTATGTGTAAAATCAAAATAAATACAGATGTAAAAATTTCGTTTAAGTTTACTACTCTTATAACTTTGCTTATTTACTTAGAAAGAACATTAGATTGTCACAAAGAAGTTGAGTAATGGTTGAATCAAGTCTATTTTGAGTTTTTGCCGGACTACTATGCATTTAAACTAAAAAATGCTAATTGTTTCCTATCATATCCAATGATTTTGTAAAACGCAAAAATCAGCAACAAATTGGTGAAAAATTATAGGAATGAAGGAATCTAATTCTTTCAAACTGATTGCAAATTTTGCAAGATTTTTACGGTAGTTGTGCAGCTTGTTATGGATCCATTGAAGGATTTTGCATTATTTGGGAGTTGTTTAGAAAGAGAAAAAAGTGAAATGGTGGTAAAAATTTACAGACATTTGAGCAGCATTAAGTCTTGAGTGTTAATAGAATTTAGCTTATGAATGGAAAAATTGTATTTGTATATATATATATATATATATATATATATATATATATATATATATATATATATATATATATATATATATATATATATATGTATATATATATAAATATATATATATATATATATATATATATATATATATATATATATATATATATATATATATATATATATATTTATATATATATACATATATATATATATATATATATATATATATATATATATATATACGCTACTTAGAAAAGATAGATAATAATTTTTGCAAAAAGTACGAGAGTTTGGTTATCAAACTCTCGTACTTTACACTCGCACTTTTTAAATGTAACATTAGGTACAAATTTCTGAACTGTTAAAAAAAAATCATTTTTACCTCATTATGGAAACTATATATTATATTTTAATTAAACATATTTTTAAATATATATGAAAAATAATCTTTGGAGGTCTCTACAGTTGAAAAAACAAATCGTTGTTAAAACTCTCCCTCAACTTTTTAATTCCGATTGAAATCTCAAATAATTTTAATTCTAAAACTGCGCAGAGAGTTGAGTGCAGCACCAAGAAAGTGGCTATCGAACTCGGAACCTCTTGTCTACGAAGCGAGTACTCTACCACTACGCTACTACCGTATATAATTACTATCATTACTACTACTACTACTACTACTACTACTACTACTACTACTACTACTACTACTACTACTACTACTACTACTACTACTACTACTACTACTACTACTACTACTACTACTACAACTACTACTACTACTACTACTACTACTACTACTACTACTACTACTACTACTACTACTACTACTACTACTACTACTACTACTACTACTACTACTACTACTACTACTACTACTACTACTACTACTACTACTACTACTACTACTACTACTACTTCTTTATTTATGTACTTTTTTTTTTTTTTGAATTATACTACTTTAATTTAATAGGTACGCGCGACAATAATTGTAACTCAAAAAGATCATAAAATAGAATTGAGAATATAAGAGAGTATCATATTAAAAAAAGAGAACTTTATTTTTTTTTTTTAATTTCTTTTTTATTTACTCGGATCTAATCTACAAAAAATGCTCTCAAATTTTATTAAAAAAGATAACTTTTTTTTGTCTTTTTTTTGTCTTTTTTTTGTCTTTGAAGCCATCTAATCTGAAAAAAGACTAAAGTACAATTGGTATAATCAAGTATAATTTATATCCGTTTTGTAAAATACAAAATAAAGATTAAACAAAAATTAGATAATAGTAGCTTTTGAGTAACCATGGATAACTTAAAGCTATTATCCCAATGGATAATTTAAAGCTATTGACAATTTTGCTGCGTTGAAAGTAACAACTGCATTCCAAGCATTTATTAAATAAAGCATTTTAAACCGTGCAAAGTTTGTCGAGAATGAATTCAGCGAGTGAAATTGAAAAATGGTCTAATGCAGTCAATCTTTATGATAATGACGAAATAGAAGAGGCCATAAAATGCTTCAAAGCTATTCCCCAAAACGCTAAAATTAGTTTTAATATAAGTTGCTGTTATCTTGCTCTTGGGAATGTCCAATTAGCAGCAAAGGTATTACTTACATATAATATTGAATAATTTACAATAACTATTATAAATCTGTAACTTATACAATATAATATTGTTAAGTAACACTTAACGTACAAAATTATTATGTACGATTATTAAAAAATAAAACGTTTGTATATATAATGTATGTCTATATAAGTTATAGTGAGTTACAGTTAGTTTATAAGTTTTGCTCGTTTGCATGTATGCCTTTATTAGAGTAAATTCAAGTAAATATGTTTGGAATGTAAAAATTTAGAAGTTTATAATAACAATGTTTTGACTAGTAAATTTCTTTTTATTAGGCCTCCAAGTAACTTATATGTACTATAAGAAAATAAAAAATTATAAAAGTAATAACTAAAAAAATAATGGCGGAGACTACTGGTACACCGCTAAATATTGTTTTTAATATAGAATGTGAAAATAAGTAAAAATTTGTGCTCATAAAACAGATAAACTCAAGAGCTTTGAGTACTCAAAACCCTCGGTTACCCAAAATCTCTGCAACATCCGTTACATAGCTTTATTCGAAAAAAAAAAAATTTTTTTTAATAATGTTGCATTAAAATCATGAACTTTAATAAATTTTACAAAGTATGCAGTACAAAGTATGCAGTACAAAGTACAAATCATACTGTCTATTAATTAGTGTGTCTATCTAATAATTTTCTGCATATATATTAATACAACATGCGCATTTACAAACTGCAAGATATAGATATGCATATTGGTTGCATACATGTATGGAAAATAGTTGTTTAATGTTATTTTTAGCATAAATTTGATGACAATAAAAAGATTTATGGATTAAAGAGCAATACAAAGTATGCAGTACAAAGTATGCAGTGTGCATTTTACATTTTAGGCACACTTAAAATTGAGCTCTTTAATCCATAAATCTTTTTATTGTCATCAAATTTATGCTAAAAATAACATTAAACAACTATTTTCCATACATGTATGCAACCAATATGCATATCTATATCTTGCAGTTTGTAAATGCGCATGTTGTATTAATATATATGCAGAAAATTATTAGATAGACACACTAATTAATAGACAGTATGATAATTTGGTAAATAGATTTTTTTTTTTAATAAGACACGTGGTATATTAAATTGAAGTGTAACGTTTTCATATTATTTTTCAATAATTTTTTAGTTTTATAGTATTATTTCTCAGTTTTCAAAAATTACGACCATATAGAATTTGCCTCAAATTGAGGAGGTTTTAAACTTTATATGGTCATAATTTTTGAACGCTGAAAGATAATACAATGAAACTTAAAATTTATCGATGAATATAAGTCTAGTTGATAATAGTACAAAAAATATTTTATTAACTTGTTGCCATCAAGTTTAAGGTGGTAGGAATAGAGTAGGGGGATTAAATTTTAGGGCTTTTTTGTTCCCAGCCTTTAATCATTACATTTTTTTGCAAAGCATCATTATTTGACATAAGTATAAACATACAAATTTTTTTAGTTTGCAAGTTAGCGATCTCAAATACCAAAAAATGCTGGATGCGTTACTGTTGCAAACCTACACAAGTTCTAACTACAATTAGTCAGTCTAAAATACTCTGAGAACCATTTTTTTCAAGATAGGAAATTCAAAAATGTTCGCTTTTGATAAGGTTCTTGGAATATTATAAATAAGAATTTAAACATTAAATTAAATATATATCATTTTCAAGTGGCATTTTAAAAATAAACAATGCGTTTGAAACTGGATCAAATTAGACGAACAGTTTCATTTTCAAGGCAAAGGTATGTATCCTAATTGTCTAGAACCATTTCCAAATAGATAATTGGGTTTTTTCTCAAAAAGTTATATATCTCTTTATATATGAAAAAAAAAAAAAGTAAAGTATTTCTTTTAGAGTTTCCAAGAAACAATTAATTTGGATCCGTTTATGGCAATAGCTTATTACATGTTAGGCTTGACAAACTGCCTTGATCAGGAGTAAGTTCTTATTTTATACTAATGCAGTTGTGTTGAGTGCAAATACTTATAATTTTTTATTTATATATACAGCTACATTAGCGCGTTTGAAAACTTTCAAAAAACTAATGAGTTGTTAAGAGGAAATCGCATGGTAGACTATCGCCAACTTGGATTAAATTTTCAACTTTACCAATGCGAGGTTTATATATTAAAATTTTTTTTTAACTTTAAATAACTAAATTATTAAGTTTGTAGCACTTTTTGTTTCCAACATTTTCTATACTTTTTGTTTTACAATGTTTATAATTTACTTTAAACCCGAAACCTATTCCCAGTAAGCACAGAACGTTTTTAAAACCTATGAAAACGGTTTTTAACGTTTCTTAAACGTTTTAAAAACGATCTGTGCTTACTGGGTTGCTGAGACTTAACACTTTAGGGAAAACTGTTTGAGCTATTGTTATCATTATTAGCCTTTATTATCCATAATTTTTAGATAAAGAATTTAAACGTTAATAAATAAAACAAATAATGAATATATAATAAAAAATATATATAGTAAAAACCTTATTTTTACGGTTTAAATGCTCTACAGAGAGATTTTTTTAACTTTAATGTTTTCTCTCTAAGTAGTTTTTTTAACAATTAATGTTGTTTATGTAAAGTTATGTTTATTGTTTATAGTTTGTTCCTCAGCGTACGTTCTTCAGCGTACGTTCCTCAGAGTACGTTCCTTAGCGCACATTCCTAAGCGTACGTTATTTTAAATTGAACAACAAGATTCAATTTAGACTCAAATATTGATTAGCTTGTCTTTCTATAGATACTGACTAACCAGGCTTATACCTACTACCGCAGGAAGAACTACAGGAAAGCAAAGGTAATGCTGCTTCTAGCAATAAACTGTAAAGTGGAAAAAAGACATGAAAATATTGTTGATTTTCTTAATAATATACAGGTATTTGTTTATTAATTTACTTAAAGCATAAAATAACAGCTGCGTACAAACTTAATTTTTTTTTATAAAATATTTAGTTTATACGCAGCTGTTGTTTTTTATATTTTAACTTTATATTTTAAATATATATATATATATATATATATATATATATATATATATATATATATATATATATATATATATATATATATATATATTTTATATATATATATATATATATATATATATATATATATATATATATATATATATATATATATATATATATATATATATATATATATATATATATATATATATATATATATATATATATAGGCGTTGTTTACTTAACCACAAAATCTTAAAAACTGAATTTTTAATTCTATTTTACCATTTTATATATATAAAAAGTTTAATTGACAGTTATGTCCCCAGCTAAAAATTGGCTGGCGATATAGGTTATCAGGTTATAGGTTAACAGCAAATAGGTTAGCAGTTTAGCAAGGAAGATAGCTTGTAACTTTCTCCAATTCAATAAAACTCAAAAAGTCAAATCAAAAAAATCAAGTTCATAAAAAAAATCAAACAATCAAAAAAACCACCCTTTGTATTTTAATTTTCGCAGATTTATTTACACTACATTAGTCCTACGGTGGTTATTTTGCATATCACAAAAACCAACATTTAAAAACTAATGCAAATGCAAACATTAGTTTGTATTAGGATAAGCTTTTTTTTCATTAGTTAGGCCCGGAGTAAGACGTGGGCAGGGTGTGCTATTTCGTACTGTTTTACCTTGAACTTTGAGCAGGTAACCATAAAACACTTTTTTGTTTACTGAAAATTTTTAAAATTTTTCTTTCATCCAAATAGGCTAACTCAAGTACAGCAATTTCGAATTCCAAAAAAATTTACAGTCACACCCCAGAATCTCTGTATACCAGAGAGAACTTTACATTCACATGGCACAGGATCCCCACCAGTATAAATCCGGTCATGCAAAACAAGTCAAAACAAGTTAATTATCAAAACTCAAAAACTATAACTTGAATAGTTTTATTGAAAAAAATAAAAGTTACAGTGAAAAATATTGAAGGGCTTATAACGACAATACTCAAAGAACAGAAGAATTATATTCTTAAAAAAACTGAAAATAGTTAATTGAAACAATTTTAAACCTATTTTAAGCTCAAATCTGAAAATTATCACGGATAGAGTTGATAAACTCGAAAACAAAACCAACATCAACAAATCAAAAATTTCAACTTTAACAAAAGACTAAAAGTAGTCTATAAAATATTTCAATTGGGATATGCGGATGATGTACTCAAAAGAGACCGAGTACGCGGACAATATAGTACTCAAAAAACACCGAGAAAATGTTTAACCTTAACTTTGTAAAAATGAGCTTTTAAACAAGCACAAAGGCGAAACGAAACAATTAAACTTTATTGAAACTGATGACGATAATTTTGCTTAACAAATTTTAGGGCGCTGATATACAACTTTTTAACGGATTAGATTTTAACTTGTAAAACTTTGATATTGAAACATTTAAATTACCGGTTAAAATAGATGTAAAAAAATTTTATCGTGATACATATCAATGTCAGAAGTTTAAATGAAAATAGCAGACTAAGGGGCGGAATGCAAGAAGCGAACTTGAGTCAAGCTCGACTTGAACTTTATATTGCAACCAATAGCGACAGAGTATGGGTTTTCCCCTCAAAAAATACTCTGCCGCTATTGGTTACAAAGTAAATTTCAAGTCGAACTTGACTCAAGTTTGCTTCTTGCATTCCACCCAAAACTTTCTTTTAGTTCAATTTTTTTAAACATGATTTTTCTTACAGTAACATGGTGTGATGACGAGTCATCTCAAAAAAATCAAATTTTTTTATTCCTTTTTATAAAATTATTTAATTTGAGAAAAAAACGCTCAAAAAAATAGAGATCTCTCCATCTCTAATTCAGTCAGAAAGGTCGTAACAATTGAGATTAACAATTACAAAAAATATTATAGTTTCTACTTGTTATAGACCACCTGATGGCAAAGTTATTCAATTTTCAATCTATTTGCAATAAATCTTTATCAAAACAATGGTACAAAATAAGAAAATCTTAAAAAAAGAAAAATACGAATTATACATCAAATATTTGAAAGAAAAAAAAAATCTTTATGTTTTATTCCTAATAATAATATGCTTTGGTTAAGTATTGCTTCAGCTTTTATATACAAAAACTCAATTCCCCAAACTATTGATAAGCTCTTGAAGCAGTGGAAGCATATTTCTGAGGCATAGCAACTGACTAATGGTTTCTACTCTTAGGAGTTACAAGAAGTTCTGTAAAAAGAATTTTTAAAGTTATATTAACTTTGCTGGTTCGATTCTTGGCTTTGTTTATACACAGCCAAGAGTCAAATCACCCAAGCATCTAGATTCCCTTTCTACCTAATAATAATTTCAAAAAAAATCTGAAGAACTACTTGCCCCTGAAGATCTTTTTTTCATAATGTAATAATAAAATAAATCTATATTTGTTAATAATAATTTGTTGTTGTTGTTTTTGGTCATAAAAATATTAGATAAGACAATACGGTATTTTCGTTTTTGAATTTATATTCGAATTACTATGTGCGTTTTGGTTTTAAAAACACAACTTTTTAAATTAATTTTTGAGTAAAATGACCAGGGCCGACGCGAGTAGGTGTCACGATTGGGGTTGTGCCATTATTATTTTGCCGACTAAAAAAAAAAAAAGTCCTTTTTTTTTTTAAATTTGCCGACTTAATGAACAAAAAAATCGTGACGGGGGAGAGGATGTAACACACATCCCTACCGCGTAGGCATTAGAAATGACAATTAGGTCATTCTTGCACAAACTAGTCAAAGGTGTCAAATGTAAGACAAAATATAATTGGGTTCGCAATGGAAACTAAAATTTTATCGGTAAAGTTGGTTTTAAGCAAAAAATATTGACTGAAAATAATATTCAAAAAATGTTAATATAGATTGAAAGTAACTGAACATATCATAAATAGTCGTCAGATATCTGGTTGAATGAAACAAATTTAACCTTTTTTGAAGAAAAACGCACGGACGCAGTTGTTAAGTTTCGGACTCTACAGTCAAATGTTATACTCAGTGGAAACAACCTGTTTCAAAAAAACAAAATATATTTTTTGTATAAAAAATGTAGTTAAAACTTTCTGCAAGTGTGGAACCAAGATACTAAGATTAGAAGATTAGAATTTAGTTAATTGTATAGTTAAGTAGTAACAAGACATAATTAGTTAAATTACTTTTTATAGAAAATTTGGTTATTTTAAAAATAATAAAAAAACTTTTGCTTCTGCGACACAATGGTATCATACAGGTGGCCGTCAAGTCATGGAGATATAGAAGACGTAATTCTTAGAAATAAATCATCTCAATATAGCCAGTAATATACTAATTTCAAATGAAAAAATCATAAGTAGAACAGCAGTTCTAAACTTGCCAAACTTTCCTTGAATTAATCCTTGATGTATTAAAACAAACCAAAATAATGACCATTTTAACGTTTCTAACTATAAGCCTATATCAGTGCTTTCTGTATTTTCAAAGATATTCGAACGTGTAATTTACAATAAAAACTTTGATATTTTAAGAAAAACAACTTTTTTTTATCCAAAGCAATTTGGATTTCAGAAAAATCATTCAACTGAACATGCTATCATCGAATTAGTGGATTAAATAAATAATGGCTTTAACGAAAATAAATTTATATAATATATATTTATTGATCTAACAAAAACTTTGGACACCAAACTTTGAATTAATGAAAATAAATGATTAGTTTACACTACATAATCATTTATTAAACATTAAAAAACAAAGCATGCATTATTTTATAAAAAAATTTCAAAAAGAAAAACTACCGTATCTATTTTTGAATAATAAAGAAATAAAATACAAAGAAATAAAATACAAAGTTCTATAAAGTTTTTAGAAATATTCGTTGATAAACATTTGTCTTGGCTCTCCCATATTTAATACTTACAATAAAAGTTAGTAAAACAATTGGTCTGATGTACCGAGTTTGTCCTTATGTAAATACATTTTGTCTAAAAATTAATGCACTTCTAATCAATTCTTTGTTTTTTAATTATGCCAATGTTATATGGTGTTATGCATAACCTAAAAAGCTTTGAAAAAAAAAATACTTAGTGTACAAAAACATGCACGTAAAACAGGAAAAAACGAGGGGAGTATACTAAACCTTTAATGAGAAACATGAAAATGTTGAATGTTTATAAAGTATATTTTTATTAACATTTAGTTTTCATTTTTAAATATAAAAATAACTTCACTGGAGCTAGTTTTATTAGTAAGTTTGAAAAAAAATGAAAGCTATTATCAGAACAAACAAATTTCTTTAAATTGTCTAAGAAAATTAATAAATATACAGAATATTCATAGCATTTCGAAAACATAAGATATGGAATTTTAAAAAAAAAAAAAAAAAAAAAAAAAAAAAAAAAATTTAATATGGTAAAATCATTAAACTCAGTTAAGTATCAAGCAAAAAAAAAAAACACATTTTCAATTCTGCAAAATAATAATTCTGATGAGTTAGTCAAGTATTTCTAACGTTTTACGTTTTATTTATTTTTAGTAGGAAATAGTTATACACTTGTTTTTTTTAGATATAAGTTTATATCTTTGAGTATTTAAATTTGAAATTTTACATCTTAGATCATTATAACATTTTGACGATATTTATATGTTTTACGGGTCTCTATGAAAGATTGATCCGGTATTGCGTCACCCATATTTTCTTTGAGTCCCGGTCTATTTTTTAAAATTGTTTAATTTAATAATATTATTAAGTGAAAATGTTATGTTACACTAAATATAACACACACGCTACGCAAAATGAATTGCCGAATTGCGTGCAAAACTGTTAAGTTACCGTAAACCGGGGTTACTTTGAATAGCGGGTAACTTTGAATACAAATCTTTTTTTTTTTT